GCAGCGAAGGCTCGGTGGAGTGGACACCCATCGGCTCTGCAGAGCATGAACCCATTGGCTCTGGAGAGTGGGCGCCCATCTGCTAGGCGGACGGTCCAGCAGATGGGGTAAGAAGGGCAGCACAGAGGAGTCTGTTGCATGTCAGGGCTTCTGAAAAAACTCTGACATCCCGGGGCAGGAGATCGGTGGGGGAGCTGAGTAAGCATACAGACAAAGTCCACCGTTGCCACCCACTTGGTCCACAAGTCCACAGAGGGGCTGCCAGCCTCAGTAAGAKTACGGGTCCTCCCCTGGACCAAAAGAGCTTCCTCTGGGGTCAACCTAAGAACAGGACTGTCTGCTGGGTCCATAGCTGGTCCGATCATTCTGTTACTGCCAATTTACACTACTTGTGTTCCGTCTCCGCTCCGGTCCGRCCTCCGCAGCAAATACGCACACATTATAATCAATGAGAGTRTTTACACTGGCTGCRCAGGGCGGCGGTGAGCGGACGGCGATYYGACAAAWTTAGAACAGATCCTTTTTTGCCGGATGACGGAGCTGTTCCAGAGTCAATTTTTAAAGATTACGTCGCACCAACAGGAAAATAAAMGAGCACAACATCCRTATTTTCAAAATAAGACACTATTCGGCAGAATAATTTGTCRGAATAATGTCGAAATTGCAGCTATAGTAATAAATATATGGATATATTTCTACACAAATGCTGTCAGAATGTATCGTTCTGTTTGGGAAGCAGATGGAAACATGTAGCATGAAGCATATGTGTACACACACGATACACGTGGATTTTATTTTGAAATCAGAAGTTTCAGAAAGCCGACAGCGAGACAGTTTTAACATAGATACCAAAAGCCTTTATATCAGTTTTCAGCTGTGTTTGGAGTTCGTCTTTCAAGAATTAATTATTTTTTGCTGTGACTTCCACACTTATCACTGAATTTATCGCGTGATCTCCTTCCTGCACGTCTGTCGGACCGGAGCGGAGGTAGTGTAAACTGGACTTGAAACCCACAGCTGCGACCTGCGGAGCGGAGACGGAATGCAAGTAATGTAAATTAGGGGATAAAGTTATGGTGGCAGGATGGACCCAAATGCAGACAGGCTCAAAAATTAAACAAAACTTTATTAAAGTAAAGGCCAACGTGGTGGCARAAAACTGAAAACTTACAAGTATGAAGAACACAGGGGAACCAGGGCAGGACAGGAACTAAACAATAATCGGACAAAGGTGGAGGGAAAATGAGCAGAATAAATACAAACAGGGATGAGTGGAAGTTGGAAATAGTTGGGTGATTAAAGAGAGACAACAGGTGTGAGAGAACTGACTGGAAGAGACTGAATAATCTGAGGACTGAGATGACACGGCACGAAAAGAACACTAGAGGCAGATCCTTACAAATAAAGGAATTCTATTCTATTGTTCTGTTCTATTCTATTCCTTTCCTTTACCTTTAACATGCTTGTCTATAATTTTCTTTCTATTCTCCTGAGAAAACTTCTCCCTTCACTTTTTCTGGTCCATGTTGAGTGTGGTACACGTCATGTCACCAAACAGCACAGTGAGTATCTSTAGCCCTTTCACTGACTGATTACAAAATTGTGGACACCTGTGATAATAATTAGTGGATACACCTTGATTTAACATGTCCCTTTGTTCACATTATTTTCAGGAGTATCATCATTTCTGTCCAGGCCTGTTTCATGAGTTTTATTTACTTTTTACTTTTTTAGAAAATTCTGTTGAAGCATAGCTGAAAAGCAATGTCTGACTTTCATTTGTTCATTTTTATTTATTATTACTTTTGTCAGATTCAAGTTATTTCTGTGACATTTGTGGGTTTTCTTTCATTAAACGAGCTGAACCAACAATGATGCCAACGTGGACAGTTTCCACCTTTGACTAATTTTAACAAATGGAATAAAATCTTTCACCCACTTTAAAAAGCTTGATGCTTTATTTGTACTTCGGTGAGAAAATTCACACCTTCTACTCTTCAAATGATGACTCAGACCTGTTTACACCTCTGTTGGACCAAAGTAGTTGGCAGCTGGTTGACTCTCTACCCAGCTAGTAAACACTCACGTCCCATTACACAAGAAAGGAACTTCTACCTCCCAACACACACATGTCATAAACATATTTTGTGGCATTGGTTAYGCAGAAACAGGTTCACACAGAACCCTGAGAATTTCTGGCCCCAAACTTTGACACTTACCTCCTCMCATTTTGCTTGACTGCAAAGGTGTCATTTCCTGTGCAAACCTGTGAAGTAACGTCATGTCACTTCCTGGTTATCAGCATCACTCGACAGCAGGATTCAAAACATGATGAGAAAAGACAGAACTAAAAGTTCAGCTGGAGGTAAATATAAATGTAGGTGTGATGTGTTGTTTTTAATTTAGAAATGGACATTTTAGAAGCTTTCTCAAAGCACAGCGTTAGCCTTTGTGCGTGTAGAGTGGGTTTCATTGGTAAATGTGGAATTTTTGTAGACGTGATTAAAAGTGATGGATCTACAAAAAATATTCCATGCCTTTGTATTTCAATCACATTTTGCAATAGATGCTTTAAATGTCTTCAGGTTTGTCTCAATGAGCTTGGTTCACCTAAACACTAAGTATTTTGTCCTCTTATCGTAACCCAACTACTTCAGGTTGGATGGATGCTGCTTGTCTATAATAATCATTAAATGAAAGCAGAGGTTTTCAGTTGCATTGAGGTCTGGGTTTTGGCTGAAACATTGAACTACTGGAGTTTAGCTTCAGCRGTGTGTTTGAGGTCATTGTCTTGCTGGACTGTGAATCTCCATTCCAGTCGGGAATCTCAGGTTCTGCAAAGATTTCTCTGTTCTTTGTTCCTTCCACCTTCCCTTTGCCGCTGACCCATCTCCCAGTCTCTGCTGATGAAAAGCATCTCCACAACATGACATCAGGGTTATCTTAGGCCTCCTGGGTGTTTCTCTGAGCAATGCCCTCCTTACTTGGTCTGTGAGTTTTTGTGGATGGCCCAGGCATCATCTGTCCATTTCCTGACAATGGGTTTATTGACGATCTGAGGAAAGTTGGAGTTGTGATTTTCTTTTATAACCCAACCCTGTTCTTTTCTAATCTACCACTTTGTCTCTGACCGGTGTGGGGGAATATTGTTAATTATTGAAAAGTTGCTAAATTATAAGTTTCTCATAACTCATTAGCATAATAAAGGGGCACCACCTGTAAATAACAGGAAATTAATCTCGTATTTTTACTCAATCTCACGTACTGAAGAAAGGAACTCTTTTCAGTCTTGACGGAAAAAATCGAATAAAAGACGCACAGACGAGCATAAAATTTCACAATATACCCTGTATTAAGAATTCAGATAACAATACAGACAAGTTATTTAGGCAGACAGAAACACAATTATTATCATGATTTCTGTGGCTTTAATAATAACRTGACTATCACCCAATAACTACCTCTCGCATTATTTGTCACTGAACACTTATTCTAAACTATTYCTACACTAACAAAAGGAGTGATAACTTCCCAGATTAATAAAAGAAAGTGTTAATCCATTTATCAAGAGGGGACGTGAATTATAATGGAAAGGATCTTGCCAGCTCTTCTTTCAATACAATCATCGTTACCAGAACACTCCCTCTGTCACCACTTCAGCTGAGCACACCACCAAACATAGGAAGCTTTTCTTTTCCTACCAATTCAATGCAAACCCGTCAATCCTGTCCCCGGGTATCGGAAGGTCCGAGCGAGGGTGAATCACCGGGGCCACTTGATCTCAAAGGGGTCCCGAGTGGGTACAGTTTGGGACGCACCGAGATTGCTTGGATCAGCTCCAAGCTGGAAAATGAGGAGGTCGGTTCGGGTCCCGTGTTGATTGAACTGACGTTCTGGTCAGTTCGGTTTCCCGAATGAATCCAGTCCCAGCACTATAAAAAGGAAACTTTAAAAATTAAAATAAAATAAAATGTCCCCGAAGGGAATGAAGAACCTGGAAACTCCTGTCCTCTCTCTCTCGCTGCTGTTTCAACTCACTCATATACTAACTAAACACAAAAATGTTGTCTCTTGTTCTGGCTGTACAAACTCCTGATTGGCTGAGCTAGTCACATGGTCTGTTTTTCACGGTTCTTACTGCTAAAAATGATTAAACACACAGAGTGATGGATTACTTGTGTAGTGATTAAATCAAGACATTATCACAGTGATTGAATCGTGATAGAAAAATACAATGCTTCTTTTCTTTTTTTTAATCAGATGACAAACAACAGAAATTTACCCAGAAAAACCATTTGTTCATGATGTGATTATGAGGCCAGCCTTTTGGGGGGGGCTCTAAAACCATAAATGAGATTGAATGCAAAACGTGTCTTTGAAGCTTGTCTGGGGGGCATTATCTCAGCAGGAGACTTGGTCTGCCAGAGAGGTTGTGGGTTGCAAACTCACTTCTGGAGACTTTCAGTTTGGCAAATGATGAGTCCTTTGTGATAAACGGCCATTTTTGAGTACTTGAAAGAGGTCTCGCAACAGTGCTTAATCAATTGGAGTTTGCAATGTCCTGTTTATTTTAACACATGTAGATTGTAAACAAAAGGGTTTGAGGGCAGTGGAGGAAGCCCTTGTTCTCTGTAGATATGGGGGGACGAGTAATTATTGATTCAAGTTCTGATGTGGAACTGTTCYTTAAGTTCCTGCTACACCGGTGTAGTGGGTTCCTTGGTCTTTGTGCTGTTTGCTTTGATTGCAACTGGTGATTAAATCTTAGTTCAAATTTYCCAGTGACTGAAAATCACCAATATGTTAAAAATGTATAAAAACCAGTTTAATGTGCAGGAGTAAACAGGAAGTAGGGAGTGTGGTAATCTGYGGAGAAGGTACAAGGTAGAGCAGAGAGGGATATTTCCTCACTGGTGTATTCYTTCTAGGTCCAGAGAGGGAGGGGCTCAGGACTGATGGGAATGGATAGCAGTGATGGGGATCCTGATGCAATGGTTGTGGTGGAGAGGCAGAGCGGATCAAAGAGAGTGGACTGGACATCGGTGCAGTTWAGCAGAGGTCTGACTGAATGTAGATCTGATAGGAGATGCTGAGCATATCTGGAAGGTAGATGGTTGTCCAGCGGGGGTCTTCCAAGGAGCCCACAAGAAAATCGGTGGTGAATATGGGTAAGCACAAGCAAACGGTTAAATACTTGAATTTTGGATCTTCAGGGTTGTTGTACGTTAAGTCAACAAGTTAAAAAGTTATGGTTCTGTTCTGCCTTTTAAATGGCGGGTCTTCATCAGCTGTTATCACCACCAGCTCATCATTGTGATTCAGCCACTTCCTCTCAGTACTGAGCCCACAGTGAAGGTGGACAAACAGGTGTACAGAAACTAACACTTTATTTGCTTTATTTGACACCAAGAATACCAACAGGTGCATCTTTTTTTAAACTGTGGCTTCTGAAGTTGATGGTTGGAGCTTTAAAGAGGACCGAATCGTGGGTTCATAGAACAAGTTAAGATWCATCTGTAGACTATTCAAAACATGTTCATTAGATTTAAAACAYAAAATCATTTTCAGATGATGAGATTTTACCTGGTCAGTTCTGCCTGTTCTGAGCTCTCTTCAAGATGTTTATGCAAATAAGCTGCTGTTGGCAACACCCTGACGACCTTTTGTTTACGTTGGCTCCGCCCTCCCAACATTCGTGCTGCARCTGAACAGCAGTTGGTCCTGCACGAGGACCCAGTGTTATGGGAGGAGAAACGTGAAGCTCCTCGCCTCCTCATGACAGCGATTAGTTTGTGCTAAACAACAATTCATGCAACAATATTGAACACAAAACATCACTTAATGCCATCACCTGCAGATTTTTGAGGAACAATAGGGACAGAAGTTTCCTTCAGCTGAAAGTCCTTGGGTAAATCCTGCTGGTAGAAGTTTCCAAACTATTTCATCATGAAATTATTTTCACAAACTACAACTTTCTTTGGTGGTATTGCCAGGACATTGCCATCAAAAATTAAACTAAATTAATCCAGGCTTCTCTGTTCTCCGTAAAAACAACAGAACAAACTTTCATCTTGTGAAGAAGTGGGCGGAGCTCCACCATGAGTTGCCAGGTGAGGGGCTGGGCTCAGGTTGAGGTGGGTTGGTGTACTGTTTGTGACGTCCCAAACCGTTGGTGTTTGAAAACAGGTCATTTCAAGACACAAAAAAAAAAATACATTTACTTATAGTTAAAATACCCCTAGGTGCATTTGTTTTGGTGCTTGGACTGTTTTTAGAAGAAGTACAAACCCAAATGTAAGTAAAAAAAAAACTAAAAATAAAAGGGTATTTTGCATATTAGGTCCCCAAAATATTTATGCATCACTTTAGATTTTTTGATAATGATATAAATTAATGTTTTCTCTGTCATTGCATTTCTTTAGTCTGCAGTAGGTCCACAACTCATAATTCAACTGAAATGAATTTAAACTCCAAGTCGTAAGGAAACAAAGTACAAAGTGTACAGAGGAGTGTTTACAACTAGGAAGCAGAGCACTAAACCACACACACAGAGGAAGTACATTTATGAAAAACAGCAGGAAGCCAAAGAAATGCCAACTAAACAGTTGGTCATCTTTGAGTTTACAAAAACAACAAAGCAAAAGTAAAACTAAAATTTGACTAGAAAAAACACAATTCTACCATTTTTTGCTGAATTTAATCTGAAGAAAGTAGAAATCTCTCCTTCTCAGTATGTCGACCACTGAGCAACTTTGTGTTGGTTGGGATGTACTCTGTGCACGTTGTTTTTGTGGGGAAAATGAAATAAATTTGTGACTGTGTATTTGTGTTTTGTGTTTAAAACTATATTCTACAATAATTTACAGCACACTCATGTATGTCGTGTCTGTAGTAAATGTAACACCGAGCAAAAAACTTTAAAGTCATGGTGAATGGAGAAGTCCTTGTGWTTTACTCTGAGCTCAGCTGCTTTTTATAAATGTCTTCATCTGATGGTTTAAGAGTTGTCTGAAAGCAAAATACAGTTTGAGAAGAAATAACATTGTTTTGAATGTAGTTTCATTCATGCCAGTAGAAATGAGTTTTGTTTTTTGTCCATTTGTGTGAAATTTGATTTGTGTTCTGAGAAAATGAAGCAGGCTTTCAGAAAATGTTCAACCCRTATCTGTTGAATCTAAAAACTCTTACATATAAATAAGAAAGTGTGTTAATGACGGAGACATAAGTTTACACAAAGACTGTCTGACACTGTGTCAGTGACTCAAATAATCTCATAAATATTTCTCATGTTGATGGTTTTATAAACCATCTCTGAACTCAACAACGAGAAGAGAAGTGAAGAATGTTCGTTGGTTTGAGTTTCTGATCTGATGTCTGTCTGAAGAAGGAACAGAAGCTGTGGGTTCACACACTTAAAAAAATATTTCCTGTGTGTGTGTGTGTGTGTGTGTGTGTGTGTGTGTGTGTGTGTGTGTGTGTGTG